AACGTTTCCTATCTAGTTGACTAGAGAGAGGATGTGGAGCCATTGATCCAGATGGGGAAGCTGGGAGGGGAGCCGATGAGAATGTGGAGGCCAGCTGATGGAGATGGAGGAAGCTGGCCTGAAGGGGCTTGAGAACCATTCAGGTTCCTGACAGCCTCAGATCCACCTGTCTCTAGGCGTCTATGAAGACCAGGTTGGAAGAGCAATGCAAGGAATATGGAGGTCATGCGGCTCCTCCCCAGAGCCTCATCCTGTCTAAGAAGGTGCACAGTCAGCCAGGACAAGAGACCCAGCGCCAGAGTGTTCACCCCGCACTGTATCTTACGACACGAACTGCTCACACAGGGCTAGGTTAAAACACATACTGGGCACCAGAGAATGGGGAAAGCAGCCATGGGCACATTGTGGGCCAACACGTTTTTAATAGGAAGTAAATCTACTGGGTGGAGGTCAAGAACTGCCCTGGGTAGCTGGTGCCCGGCAAAGCTCGTTTCTAGTTAGCTGCTCTCTCATGCCAGACGGGCCGTGGAATGCAGGTCTGGGCAGCTTACGCTCTTGCCATCTTGCCACAGGTGCTTCTCTGTGAGCCTGGATGGTCTTGGCTTTGGTGTGGAAAGCTGGTTTAGTTCACGCCCTAGGCATGAGATTGCGACCTGGGTTCTCCTATAGTCTTTTTTATTTTTTCCTACTGGCAGCCAGCAGCAGTTACTGATGCCTGCTGGGCTCCTTGCTGGTGGCTGGGCACCCTTCCCACACCTCAGCCTCTGGTCTTGTGGAGCTTGGTTGGCACCCAAGAGCCAGTTAGACTAGTTCCTGCCTAGCCCCAGCTTGGGCAACTAACTATCTAAGGCCTTGCTCAGTCTAACCTTGCTTCTCCTGCTCTCCTATTTACCTTTCATTGATAATCAACTGGTAGATATGGTTCCAGGGGAAGTGGCCTGGCAGGGAGGAACGTGCCACGGAGGAGCTGGGAGTCCAGAAGGGTTGGGTTTGAATTCTGGCCTGACTTGCTATCTGTATGAGCTCGGGCCAGGGGCCTCACCTGCAGGGCCCCCGGACTTCTGCATCTGTGAAATGGGATCGTGGAGACTTAGCAGCATGTAGGTACAGTAGTCCCTCTTCCTTGTTTCCCATGCTGTGCTCTCCAGAGCAGCAGGTTGCAGCTGGGGTGATGAGCTCTGTTTTCGCTGGGCTCCCTGCAGAAGACACGCAGAGGGGCATGGTAGGCAATGCGGTATCGGTGGCGCCTGCAGAGCTGACATCCTGTGGATTTATGAATCCTTAGTTGGATCTGGCTGTTTTCTATGCTCTTCGTTACTCTCGCTAGGAGATGGGAAATGGAGTCAAGTTTGTCCTTTGGCGTGAGGTGCTGCTGTGTCTACAGGCCGGCCAAAGGGGGAGGCACCCGCTTTGTGAGCAGTTCAGCTCCTGTCTCGGTCCTGGAAGAGACCATGTCTTGCTCCAGTCTTTTGAAGTCCTTGCTGGCTGAAGGGATATTGAACAAAACACAAGGTGTTTTCATGGTCTTCTTAAGGTCCCCTCTTAGTTCACAGGAACCTACCCCGTGTCCTACACAACTCCAGAAAATTCACAAGTCTAAGAGATGTAGAGGCCACTTTTGACTTACGGGCCTCACACAGGGTGGCAGGCAACGACTTGGTGAAGTTCTCTGGTTTCCTTTGCCCACCCACCCCTCTTCCCATCCTCTTCCCTGAAGACTGCTGGAGCTGTGCTCCTCTCTAAGGGCGGCTGGCCAGGTGTGGCCTTGCATTTCCCCAGGGCCTACTCAACTCCAGCCGCTGTTTTTCCCAGCACAGGGCCTCCAGCCCGGCGACACAGGGGATTCCCAAGGAGCACCGAGAACACACAGGTGTCTGGAGCCTCTTCCAGATCACGCAAACGTGTGGGAAGCCACCATGGTATTTGTTGGCTTAAGAACTGCCCCGTTAGGGCTGGGTGTTTCAGTGGGTAAAGGCGTTTGCCACCAATCCTGAAAACTTGAGTTTGGTAGAATGAGAAAACCAACTCCTGTGACCCATGCAAGATGTTCTCTGACCATAATACATACAACATGGCATGTATACACATAGACGGACGGATGGACAGACAGACAGGCAGACAAAATGTAATTTAAAAAAATCATCCCCTAATAAATCAGCTTGAGCAATACAGTGAAACCTTATGAAAGAGAAAGAAAGAGAGAAAGAGAGAGAAAGAGAAAGAAAGAGAGAGAAAGAAAGAGAAAGAGAGAGAGAGAAAGAGAAAGGGAAAGAGAAAGAAGCCTCATTCTATAGCATATCAGGGCAACTATGGAAACTAGCTGTTTATTTCAAAATAGCTGGTGGAGAGAATTTTGAATGTTTGCATCACATGGAAATGAAAAATGTTCAAAAGGACAGACATGCCAGTGTCTTAGTTACTTTTCAGTTACTGTGACAAAGCATCATGACCAAGGCAACTAAGAAAAGCAAGCACTGAATTGGACTTCCGGTTTTAGAGGGGTGGAATCCCTGATGGAGGGTCGAAGGCAGGGCGGCAGGAACAGCTGAGAGCTCACATCTCGATCCAAGAGTAGGAGGCACAGAGAGACTCGCTGAGCATAGTGTGGGCTTTTGAAACGTCACAGCCCACCACCAGTGAACACCTCCTCCACCAAGGCCACACCCAGTCTTCCCCGGACAGTTGTACCGACTGGGGACCAAGTGTTCAAGCATGGGAGTCTGTGGCAGCCGTTCTTGGTCTGACTTCCGCAGACACACACCTTGGTCTGATCATGACAATTGTGGGCGTGTGCTGAATCGTCATGCTGTGTCCCCAGATACAGGGTTATTTATGTATCAATTCGAAAACCTCCCGAGGTGATTCCACAAGTATAAGTCCCCCCATTTAAAAGTAGGGGAGTGGCTATTTATCTCAGGGTTAAATTATGTGCCAGGCACTCATGAAGAATCCAGGTCCAATCTCTAGGACCTAAATAGTAAGTAAATAAAGTGCATTTTCCAAACCTTCCTGTGTGGGGACCACATCTGTTCAGAGGAGAGGATGGCATCCTGCCTCTACCTCACCTCCCATGTGCTGGAGCTACAGACACCCAGCATCGCAAGATGCCTTCATCTTGCTGTTCCCAGTCATGTCCTCGGTAAGCTTAGAGTGTGGTTAGTGTACTCAGAAAAGACAAGACTCATGGGAAAATAGCAACACATCTAGGTTTTGTCCCCTTGGTCAGCTGCTCTTAAACTTGGGTCCATTTAGTGTTTTGAAATGTGTGCCTACTAACCCATCCCACTTGATTTAGACTCGGCATTTTGAGGGGGAAGCCTGAGCCAGAACTTTCTTGAGTGGATTTCCCACGGGTTTGAGTCTGCACCAAAGTCCAGGTTCCATCTGTGGGTTGAGAGACAGGAGCCTGCAGCTGGCCGGAGTCAGTGAAGGCGTCAGGAGGGTCCTGAGTTTAACCCTCCATTCCAGGACACAACACTGGGGTCCTCCCCCTGTACTCTGGCACCTGATGATTTCTGGGCTTCTTGCCCTGGCACCTGGTTGCTCAGGCCTTTTTGGTGCAACCTCACTAGATCAGGAAGTGTCTGCTTGAGGACTGTCTGGGTGCCGCCATGACAAGGAGCTATTGCCATTAAACTTCTAGATCTAGTTAACTGGAGTGGACGCTGAGTCTCACTTTGGCTCTGAAGCCTCGGGAATCCTAGGGATGTTCCCTCACCCCCCTTGGGTGGGTAGGAGGTGGTGGGCAAACAGCTTTTCAGACATTTGTCATGTTTTCCTGGCTTCTTGGGATGGAGAGAGCGTTTATCTGCCTCGGAGCAGAAAGGGTGGAGTATACATGAGTACCCCCCACCCTCATCCCCTGGGTAACTCGGCAGCACATCCCTGTGACTGGGAGGAGGCATCAGAGACCAGAGCAGAAGGCTGACGTCCTCGAAATCTGATCTCCCCCTGTCATTACATGTGGCTTAGAGTCCGAATCGTTCCCCCATCTTACTTCACTCATGATTCAGGACTGGGCCTCCAGAGGCTTCGAGATGTGGTTTGGGGTGAGGAGAGCAGTTATTTAAGAGTAGCCCCAGATCCTGGTGTTTGCATCTTGTAATTAGCTTGGTTGAGGGGCCCACGGCCTCCCTGGGCTGTGGTCACCCTATTTTCATATAATTCTCCCGGCACAGTTTATCATCTAGATTTTACAGGGAAAGTCTTGTCTGCAGTCAGAGAGTGTTAATGCTACAGTTAGAATGTGGTGGCTTCTAGGAGACCTGAAAGCCCACGTGTGCTTGGAGCTCTTGGCCACAGTGAGGCTGTGGAGACACAGGCTTCCTTCTGCCACCCAGCACAGCTGAGTCTTTGCCCAGAGTGGTTCGGGGCCCCTTAGGCCATCTCTCCTTAGTCTTGGACAGTGATGGCGCCGTTTGGATTTTGATTTGGGAATGGCAGAACCTGTCTTTCTTAACACAATCAAGATTTCCTTTCAACAGATTTAGCCATTATGAAGTTTAACAATGGATAAATAAAATGAATGCTAATCTGAGTATTCCAGGGTGGCTTTTATTTATTTCGTTTTTACAGAACTTGGGGTGATACTCAAGGCCTCATTCATGCTTGGAAAATGCTCTACCACTGAACTATACTCTTATTCCCTCAAAGGCATTTTTCAGACATAATGTTTCATGTGGAAAAGGTAATTGAGTCTTTTTTTTTTTTTTTAAGGTCTTTTCACAGAGATTCAGGGTTTTCTTAAATGGCTGTGTTATCCTTATCCATTCTTCCTTCCTTCCTTCCTTCCTTCCTTCCTTCCTTCCTTCCTTCCTTCCTTCCTTCCTTCCTTCCTCCTCCTCCTCCCTCCCTCCCTCTCTTTCTTTTTTCTTTTTTGATTTTTCAAGATAGGGTTTTTTTGTGTAGCCTTGGATGTCCTAGAACTTGCTCTGTAGCCCAGGCTGGCCTCAAACTCATAGAGACCCTCTTGCCTCCGCCTCCTAAGTGCCAGGATTAAAGGCATGTGCCACCACCGCCTGGCCCCTATCCATTTTCTTATAAACAGAAAATTTAACACATTTAGTTGACTTCAGAGATCTGTTATTTTAGACAATGGGCTAGAAGGTTCTTCCCAAATCTAAGATATTTCTTTTTTTAAATTTCTTTTAATTAAAAGCTTTATTATTTTATCTTATGTATATGGTGTTTTGTCTGCATGTATATCTGTGCACCATGTGGGTTTGGTGCCTATGAAGTCATAAGAGGACATCAGATCCCCTGGAACTGGCGTTACAGGCAGTTAAGAGCCGCCTTGTAGTGTAGGTGTAGGGAACCGAACGGGGTCCTCGGCAAGAGCAGCAGGTACACTTAACCCCTGAGCCATCTCTCCAGCCACGGCATTTCTTAAGGCAGTCTTCTGGAATGGTAGACCATTTCACGGTTAGTGCTTAAGTGAATTTTCTAACTCTTCTTATCTGGGACTTTGTGCCTTCATTGCTTTGAGATAGCCCCATTTAGTGAGGGCGTCCGTTGTTTTCCTGGAGCAGAATGGTGTTCATTTGGAGCTGCAGGCTCAGGTTATGCAAGTGGGTTCTCAATGAACTCTCAGGATGTGGGGGTGGGTTCTCAGACAGACTCAGGTGATAAGGGAATGGGTTTTCAGTCGTATCTATTGGGAACTTGATTGGTCTGGTTTCTAATCTTGGTCACTACCTCATATCACCTCTCGCAATAGAAATCAGGAAGGCAGGAAGGGTCTGTCATGGTGGAATATTGTTGACTCAGTATTTGGAGCTCCCTGCTGGTTTTTTGTTGTTGTTTTTTAATTTGTTTCTGTATTGCGTTTTGCAGTTCTGGGATGGAACCCAGAATATTGTCCATGCTCGGCCAGCATTCCCACTACAGTACACCCTTAACCATCCTTGCTGCGTTCGTGGTCTATTTTCTTCGTGGTTTTGATTTTTGTGTTCAGACATGGGTTTCACTTGGCGTGTATTATAGTCCTGTAAAATAAGTCCACAGGCATGTTAAAAACAATCTGTATCATATGAGTTTGTATCCTGTGTGTTCTGAAATGAGTGTTGAAATGACATAAATGAGACAAAGCAAGCCAAATAAGAGCAATCATGCAGAAAAGATGTCATAGGTCATGCTTGCAGAGCATCCCTGTGTGCCAGGGGAATTCCACACTGAAACACTCTCCTGCGTTAACTCCACCTCATCGCTGTATTCCAAGGGTAGGGCTACAGGTAGAACATCCCTCACCTAAAACTTCACAAATCTGAAATGATCCCAAACCTGCAACTTTCTGAATGTATGATGTGATAGCAAGTAGAAAATTCCACACCTCAGCTCATGTGGTATGTTGCCATCAGAACACAAGGGACCTAAAGTCATTGTCTAAAATCACAGTCCCCAGGAAATCTGTATACTGGGTATATGAAGCACAAATGGAATTTTGTGTTTAGACTTGGGTCCAGTCCTCAGGACTTCTCATTTTTTTTAATCTAAGTATTGTTTTCAAGAGCTCGGTTGTGGTGTCACATGCTTGTAATGTCATCCCCCAGGAAGTGATGGCAGGAGGGTCACAGTATCCCTCTATTAACTCTCACCCCCCAAAAAAGGAAAAGGCAACTCAGATTGCCTCTGTTTTTTTTTTTTTTGTTTGTTTGTTTTGTTTTGTTACCCAAATTGACCTATTTTTATTTATTTTTAATTTAATGTTCAAAAAAATTCATCTATTTAGTTTATTTTACATCCTGGTCTCAGCCTCCCCCCCATCCTCCCCTCTCAGTCTGTCCCCCTATTTCTCCCCTCCCACCCCCATTTCCTCCTCCATCTTCATCCAGGAAAGGGCGGGTCTCCCATGGACATCAACAAAACATGGCGTATCAAGTTGCAGTAAGACTAAACCCCTCCCCATGAATTAAGGCTGGGCAAGGGGACCCAGTATGAAAAGTGAGGTCCCAAAAGCTAGTAAAAGAGTCGGAGACAGCCCCTGTTCCCTCTGTTGTGAGTTCCACAAGAGATTGCCTCTGTTTTTACAGCAGGGGAAACTGAGGGCCTGTCAAAAGTCTTCACAGTCGCCTGGCGAACCACACACCGGCTAACCATTGTCCTAGACTAACTGGCCATAAGAGCGGAGGGGATGCTGTGAACGTTACTGTTTCCCCCCAGGAGACCTGTTATCCAGGGTTATTACCAGGGCTTTGTAGGTGAGGACAGTGACTTTCCCGAGGCTTCAGTGGTACAGACTGAACTGGAACGCTGGCCTGTCTCTTACTGCTGCTTTGGGGGCCCTCGCATCTTAAGAAAACACCTTTGTCTTTCAGAACCTGGCCTCGGGGGCAGGAGCGGTCGGATCTCTGCAGCTGACTTACATCTCGAAGGTAATGTTGGTTGGGCCCGCTGGGAAGCCACATTCTTGAAGTAGGTTTGCCGGCTAAGCAAGAGGGGAGTTGCGCATCCTGGAGGTGTAAGCCTTGGGGGGTGTCCACATTTTGCTTTCCCAGGTACTGCCTGTGGAAGGGGTGCTGTCTGGCGGTGGTGGTTGGATGTGACCGTTAGCCTTCGCTCCAGACCTATAGGAATATTTGAGATAGTCTGTAAGGAGAAAAGTTTACTCTGAGTCACTGTGTTCAAGGTCTTAGTCATGACTGTGGGGTTCATGGGAGGCAGCACATTATGATAGAGCGGGCCCAGCTTCTTACCTCATGGCTAGGAAGCAAATTATAGAAGGACTGGGTACCTATAATCTCTCCTGAGGGTACCCCTGATCACTTAAGGACCTCCCATGGGCTTCCACTCCTAAAAGTTCCAGATGTTACCACTGGCCTTTGGAAGGCATTTTGCATCCAAAATAAAGCATGATGTAGAATGTGACCTTTTTTTTTTTTTGTAACTGGGATCAAAGGGACACAGGGACAATGACCCTAATCCAGTAAAAGATTCCCTCAAAGTATACAGTTACTGAGCAGTGGACTGGAAATGGCCCAGGACTCCTGGAATTTTACCAGTTCTCCAGACAGAATGCTAGTGGAGGGAGGATGGAGACCCACCACCACCACCACCACCACCACCACCACCACCACCACCACCACCAAGGCCCTAAGATGTGCCAGGACCACATTCAGCATCTGAGTACCTTCTAGAGAGCATGGGCAGGCAGCTGGCAGTCTGTGGCCTCATCCAGCATGCAAACAGGGGCAAGAGCAACTAACTCCTGTTCTCCTGAGACCAGGGCTAGGGCCATTCGGTGATGCCCACAAATAACTGCTGAATTCAGCGGCTTTGAGCGGCTCCTCCCTGGGGCAGCCACTGCTGCTGACCCATGATGCAGCCCTGATTTAAAAAAAAAAAAAAAAAAGCCAGAGGATTTAGAGTCTCTTCTGAGAGCAGGAGGAGGGAGCCCCGCGGCACCCAGCCAAGCTCCAAAGCTAGCGGAAGTGTCTCCGTCCCCCACTCCAGTTCTCCTGCGGGGTCCCACCCTGGGGACTTTGAGGACCCAGGGGCTGGGGGCTGAGCTAAGGAGCTACCAGCTCCATCTGGTAACAGATTGAAGGGGATCTGTGACACGCTCCCACGGGGGACGCTTCAAAGAGATGGGTCAAGAGATGTCCCGAGAGGAGCGGCCATCTACGACGGCTGGACCCGCCAGGCGCATCATCCCCGTGCCGGCCAGCTGCAGACGGAACTGGGCCGATCCATCTCCGCGAGGCAGAAGACGCTGGGCAGTGGCTGAGCCGATTAAGACAGGAGATAATGGCCTCAGGGGAAGAGCAGTGGTTAAAAAGTGCAGCTTTGCTAGCCCAGCTGCAGGCAATTTGTGCATGCCTTTTGATAAGAAATGGGGCCGCCTCCCTAGGCCAGGGCCGCCCGCCCTCCCTCACCCCTCCCCCTCCCCTTCCCCCCTCCCCCAGGGGCCCTCTCTTCTCATCGGCTGTGAGCTCATGAGGTCATTTCTCCAGAACGGGAATTGAGAGAGGGGAAGCAGAGAAGAACCCTGTCAAAACTGAAAACTGAAACCTGAAACCATCTCCCCTGTGTGAGGGGTTGGGAAGATTTTTTTTTTTGGCCAGGGAAGAGCGAATATAATCTCCTGCTGAATCATGATTTATAAATGCAGCCCAGATGAGGCTTTCAGTGTTCTTTGCTTCATTTAGAAGGGATGACCTGACTTTTCGCCCTTCCTGGGACAGGCAAGCCTGCACGCGTCTTTGAAAAACCTACACCGGCCACTGCTCCAGCTAGCCCCCTGCCAGAACACGTACCCAGGTCCTGGGGCTGCTGGCTTCCTGAGTCCTCGGTTTTTTTTGTTAGCCTTTGGTCACTCCCAGGGTCAAGTGTTTGCACAGTGTCAGATGTGCTGGCTTGCTTTGTCCCCCGATCTCCTGTGGGGAAGATGGGGCTGGCATGGGGGGTGGGGTGTGTGGGAGGAGGGGTCCTCCAGAGAGGCAATCAGAGATGGAAGTGTCTGTTCCCAGGGCATTATGGCAGCAGAACCGGTCTTTGGGCAAACTAGAAAATAACCGAACCTGGCCCATGGTGCTACCTTTTTGTTATAGCCCTTCTCCCCGATTCCAGACATCTTCACGCCTCCTGCCCCCAATTCTGCCCAGCCTGGACCTGTTTCATGAGGGCTTCTGATAGATAACAGGTTTCCCCCCCCAAAAAATGGGGTTATTAACTGTTTGTGTGGGGGGTGGGGGTGAGGGGCATGGATATGCCAGAGCAGTGGTTCTCAACCTGTGGGTCGAAACCCCTTTGCCTGGGGTGGGGGGCTGGGGGCGTGTCGAATGACCCCTTCACAGGGGTCGCTTAAGACCATCAGAAAACACAGATATTTACATTACTACCTACATTACTACCCACAACAGTGGCAAGATTACAGTTATAAAGTAGCAACGAAAATAACTTTATGGTGTGTGTGTGTGTGGGGTCACCACACCATGAGGAACTGGTCGGTAAGAAGCACTGTGCTGAATAGTTCAATAAAGCATTATCGACTCATTTTCCAGATAAATAGGCCGACGTACGTGCCAACTCGAAGTCCTCTGATGACTGTTGGTGACTTCTTACATTAGTGCCCCCTTGAGGGACAGGTCTCCCCTGACAGGGAACGATGTTTCAGTTCTCCCAGGCCTTATTCAGCTCTTGTTTCTTCTGCTGGAGGGGCCCCAGCTCCCCTTCCCCTCGATGGCAGGCAGGGTGTGGCTGGCCCTCACAGTGTCCCTCCAAAGAGGTCTGTGTTTGATCTGATAAGCGAAAGCTCCCGACGCTGTCCAGCTACCGAGCGACTCTTGTGCGTCACTGCGTGGGGGCCCCCCTGGGCCCTCTGTTCTTCACATCCCGACGCGCTCTTGCTGTTGACGTGCTCACAGGGCCTGCCAGTAAACCACGGTTGGGCAGTGACTCAACTGTGGCCACCGTGTGGTGTGAGGATGTTTGTGCCTGGGTGTGCTCGCACTTGAGTCAGACTGTTGGATGTCCTCACCCACCTGTGGCCACCCTGCTTCCTGCAGGTCCTCTGTTCTCTTCCTGTGTTTGAAGATGGCTGCTGTGGCCTGGCATGATTGCCAACAGGTGGCAGGTGGCTTGGGGCGGTGCATACCTCCGGGGGGCAGGCTGTCAGGGAGAGAGGCCAAAGCCAGAGTTCTGAGCAGCCTTTCTCTGTGGACGTAGTCAGAGGTGGGCAAATTCGTTGTCTGCTCCTGCTGTCCTGTGTCTGTGAGAAGAGCGCTTACCTTTTCACCCTGGCGTTACTAAGGGAGAAGCCAGTCTGTAGAGGTTCTCAATCCTGTTCCATGGAGAGCAGGTCAGAACTGGGACCAATCCCATTAGTTTGTCAATGAATCACTTTTCCCGACAATGCTTCCACGCTAAGCCACGAGCACACTATAAATGCACATGCCTGTGGACTTCCTATCAAGTACGGACACAGAGAAGAACAAGCAGAAGGCCACGTATTGCCTTTGGAAGCTCCGGTTCTCACGATAACTGCATGGGTGGCAGTTTCCCAGGCTGACTACTCAGCGCAGCGAGCATGAGCGTTTGTAATCCATGTCGGGTGAAAGGGTCAGCCTGTGGCGCTCTGTCCAGTTGGTGATAAATACGAGGAGAGAGGATCTCTGGGACCAAAATTGCCAGCGGGATGAGAAGGGAGCGGGGAGGCAGGTGGGTGCCGTAGGGCCAGCACACAGGCAGCTCTGTGACACTTGGGGGTTAAGGCAGGAACCCAGCACAGCCTGGCCGCTGACGGGAGGCTGCCTGAAGGCCGCAGCTGGGACCTGAGTGGCGGCAGCTCAGCAACTGGCTGGGACCGGACCTCAGGGAAACAAAGTGGCTCAGAGCCACGACTGACAGCCCCCTGAGTGCTACCTGCGAAGTATGCAGACATGGCTGCCTCTGCTAGTCTGTCAGAGCTCAGATTTGTGGGCTCCCTTCCGGGTTCCTCAGAACTTTCTTCCGCCACAGGGCCTCCTCCACCTCAGGGTTCCCTCATCATACAGAGGCTTGAACGTACACACATTGGCATATTCTCTGACTCTCCCTGGTGATGCCCTGTGCAGCCTTGGCATTCTGCTAGCAGAAAGGTCATCAGCAAAAGCAGTCCTTCATCCTTGAGCCTTCAGAAACAGGGGTCATGTGACATCTTGTATGCTTTAAATACTTGTCATTGAGGATGATGTAATGTTATGCAGGCATTTAATTATTAACATCGGAAATCCATGCATTTTTTTAAATTTTAAATAACAACAATAATATATTTATTATTATTATTGTGTGTGTGCATGTGCATGCATTGGTGTGTGATTTAAGACCAGGTCCACCCATGTAACCCAGGCTAGCCTGAAACTTGCTGTGTAGCCTAGGATGGCTGAAAGTCCAGATCCTTTTGTCTGAGCCTCCTGAGTGCTGGGATTACAGATGCATGCTGCCTTGCCTGGAATAATAGTCTCTCTCTGATGAGCAGATTCTATGCAGCTAGGTCCCTTGCTTGTAGTGCCATATTCAATGCTTGTGTTAACTCCATGGGAACATGACTTAATGATTCCTTTCTCAACAGAACGTGTCATGGAGGTAACACAACTTGTGATTTGAGACTGATTCCAAAGCCATCCTCTACTGTTTATTCTTTTGATATTTTATAGGGTGCCACCTCAGTTCCTGGTTGAGTATTTGGGACAATGTTAATTTTGGCTAAGGAATCAAGGCGGGTCTCTAGGAAGACTTTAGGGTCAAGAGCAACAGGAGCCTAGAGACCAGTGTGTCAGTCAACCTTAGATTTTTAGCAACTTTGGGCTGCATCAATTTCACTTCAAGACTGTAATTCCTGCTTCTAATTCCAAGTCCCAGAGTCCTAAGAGGAGAACAAGAAGACCCAGGATGACTAGAGAGGGGATTGAGAGAACAGTGTCCAGGGCAGGATGGTGACTGTACGTGGATAGGTTCCACGGGAGGTGCGACCTCACTAGACATCCCCAGTGAGTGGGATGTACGGAGTGTTCAGTGTGGCTGGACCAGCATGTAAGATAATCACCAAATCTTTGTAGTGTGTTGATGGAACATGAGCCTGAGAGATACGGGCTCCTGTGCAAATAGACAGCAATACCCACACAAGAGAGGGGATTGCAAAAGCTGGTATTCCCGTACACCAGTATTCCCATTTTCTCAGGCCCTGCCCTTGAATAGACCCAGTGTGAGCTCACTCACTCTGTCAGCCGCTCGCTCTCTGGGTTGCTGGCAAGTTGCCCGTGTCCATGGCCAGCATAGAAAGCTAGGCCTTTGGACAGCGTATCTAAATACAGGCGTGCTTGCCACCCTCCCCCGACCCACCTCTTTCTGCTGTGATCAGAGTTTGTATGTCCAAAGAAATACCAGCTGGGAGACTATTGAGGGAAAAGGGATTAGCTCTTGCAAGCGTAATAGAAGCCTGCTGATACGAATGGGGACTCTGCTAGATCTTGTGGTTCAGAGAGAATCTTGTCCCGACCCAGTGACTTTTAAAGTGTTCTGCAGAGACAAAATTAACACAGGCAGGCATCAAGATAGTTATGAGGGTGGTAGAGAGTCTACCATAGAAGGGGTTTAATGAGTGTCTAAGACAGGGCTTCTCAACCTCACGACCTCTGAGAATCACATTGCGGACATCATGCATATTAGATATTTACATTACAATTCATAGCAGTAGCAAAATTACAGTTATGAAGTAGCAATGAGATAATTTTATAGTTGGGGGTCACCACAACATAAGGAACTGTATTATATTAAAGGGTCTCAGCATTAGGAAGGTCAGGAACTACTGTTTTAAGGAGCAGGATTGATAAAGCCAGTTTCTTAAGGGGTTGAGGCAAGACTCTCAATTATTGCTCTTCAAAACGTACAAATGTACATTTGATAGGCTCTTTATATGTATGAAATATTTATACATATGTATAACATTTATATGTACATGTGTAAACATTATTTTTTCATGATGTTGGAAACACAGTCATGTCTCTTTTGTCTTTATTTGGTATAGGTGAGCATAGCTACCCCAAAGCAGAAACCCAAAACTCCACTCTGCTTCGGTAAGTACTGAGCCACGGTGGGTGTTCTTCACGAACCATTTTCCATGGTCGACAGCCCTGTGGTCCCATGTGAACTGTATCCTGTGTGTCTGAGTGGCATAGATAATAGCAATGTTGTGGATGCCAAGTAATACCACTGCAAAGATGATGAATAACTTGTGTCCAGGCGCACAGGGGCCAGCGTGTTTTAGCCAGGCTGGCTTCTGCTCACTGTCTGCCTCCCACCCCTTCTTCTTTTTCTCTCGCCTGCCCCTTTCTTTCCCTCCATCCATGCCTGGAGGGCATGCTTCTCGAACCTAGACTCTCTAGTGCTGGGATTACAGGCGAAGCTAAAGGTTGTGGCTGCGGTTCAGTTTTCTGGATACCACGGGGTGGGCAGAAGTTTCTGGGAGCCTTCACTTGAGAGTTGGGAGGCGAGGTGATGTTGGAAATGAGGCGATCTGAGAGAGAGGGGAAGACAGGCAGGAAAGAATTACAATGAAGGACAGTTGGGGGGGTCTCGAGGCTGCCGAATGAGTGGCAGTTGGGGGGAGGGTTGTTAGTGGCATAGGAAGCCAGAGCTACTTTGTGGATGCCTCAAGCCTCTCTCCTGTTGAGTCCAGTGACTCGGTCACTGAGCTGTTGACCAGCCGTCCCTGTGAGTAGATGCTGAGGCATTTCTGCATCAAGGGAGGCTCTGAATCTAAGTTTCAGGAGGCACAGCCACCTCTTGCTTTTTTCTTGCATGTTCTCAGCACATAGGGCGGCTGCTGGCACATAGTGGGTCCTCAATACATATTTGTTGTACGAATGAAACAGGGAATTCTTGGTCCCTCCTGCAGTGGCTTCTTGACTCCATGCTTATGCTAGAGGGATGAAGTGACCCCCTTCTCCCGACTTCAGATTGGTGCCCTCTTTCTCCTGTTTCTTCCAAATATCATTGCTAAGTTCAGAAATCACTCTTAGACTTGGCGGTCTGCTCATTTAATAAAGTATGAACAACAACAACAACAACAACAATAATGAAACTCAGAGGTAAGCTGTTGACTAAGGAAATGCTCCGAGGGAAGAACAGGTTGAAGAGGAGGCCAGGGGCACAGGCTTGATCTTGAGCAAGCCTTCTTCTGTTTCCCAGACACAGACAGGATTGTACTTGTAGAAGCAAAACCGAGGCTCCCAGCTTAGTGCACCAGCAGGCCGGTAGCCGGAGTTGCCCACAGTGCTTCGTGAATGTCTCTATAGGTGGCAGATGAGTAGCCCTGTGGTTACCAATTGCACACTGCGGCTACTCTTAACGCCAGTGTCATGCTGGTGGCTGATGGGAGAATCCCTGCTTTTAAAGATGAGTTGCTGTGGTCTGCTGTTTCTGAATATGCAAGTGACTTAACACCGTGGGCGGTTTCTGGATCTGCTGAATGGCCTTTATGGGTCTTGTCACCTCAGACATCCTAACTTCCTGGGCTCTCGCAGTCCGTGAATTCTGACCCGAAACCTTTTCTCCCCATCCCCGTTACTCTTTTCCAGTTATCAATGCCCTGTCTCAGAGATATTTTCTTCAAGCTAATGACCAGAAAGATCTGGAAGACTGGGTGGAAGCCTTGAACCAAGCCAGCAAGATCACTGTATGTATACTTTTTGTTCTTTCGGGTAGTGAAAGTGGCGTGTCCCAGTGTTGGGCCTCAGTGGGGGCAGGGGCAGAACTCAGAAGGCAGCAGGGACTTGCCCGGAGCCTGTGCAGGCCCGGCTGGCTCCCTCTGACCTCCTCTTGTCCGTTGGCTGACGGCTACAAGTGAACTTGAGAGTTAGAGTTTGCATCAAGTTCAAGGGGAAGTTTATGGAGTGTCCCATCCCCTCTGTGCTTCCTGGGAGGGCCTCCTATCAGCCATGTTCTGGGTAATTATGGGATGCTGATTCAGTGTTGTGCTGCAAAACGGATTGCTGACTATGAGAAGTCGAGGGATGGGGAAAGTGTAAGAGCAGGAACTTAGATCTCATTTTTTTTTCTAGTTTGGAGGATATTCTTCTTTGTTGGCTCTGGGAAAGTCTTCCATTTGAAAGCTTTGCTAACTTTGAAACTTGTTCATGGACTGCGTTAAGTACTCTTGTTTTCCTGGACTTGGCTAATGAAGAATTTATTTCCTGTTCCCTAGAAATATTTATTAAAAAGTGAGACAGAAGAGTTAGAAGAAAGGAGAGGGAGAAAGATGTGTTAGCTCCCCCAACACGGTGACAACATGCTTGAAATAATCTAGTTATAGGAAGGAGAGGTTAATTGCAGATCATGGGGGCTTATCCCTGCTGCTTTGGGCCTGTGATCAGGCAAGCCATCCAGGTGGAGCATGTGACACAGACCTGTTTATCTCCCAGTAGTTGGGAAGCAAAGAACAGAGCAAGAAAGAGCTGGGCTCCCAATATCCCCATGAAGGGCAAATGCCCAGTGACCTAACTTTCCCCACTCTGTCCCATCTCTGGAAAGTTCCACTGCTTCCCAATAGTGCCACAGGCTGGGGACCAGGCATCCAACCAACATGGGCAATCGTTAGTGACTGTAGCAAACACTGCTTTGAGGAAAAAAGAACAACAGCGAAACCCAGCAAGTCAGGCAGCGTCCCGTCTGCCACAGTTTGCTAAAAACTTAGAAATTCGGTGTTGTACAGCATCTCAGGGTTTCTATTGCTGCAATGAAGCACTATGACTAAAAACAATCTGGGGAGGAAAGGGTTTAATTTAGCTTACACTTCCACATTGCAGTCCATCTTTGTGAAGGAAGTCAAGACAGGAACTCAAACAAGGGAGGAACCTGGAGGCAGAAGCTGATACACAGGCCATGGAGGGGTGCTGCTTACTGGCTTGCTCTTCATGGCTTGCTCAGCCTGCTTTCTTAAAGAACCCAGGACCAGCAACCCAGGGGTGGCCTCATCCACAATGGGCCGGACCCTCCTCCATCAATCACCAAGAAAATGTCTTCCATCTGGATCTTATGGAGGCATTTTCTCAACTGAGGCTCCCTCCTCTTTGATGACTCTAGCTTGTGTCAAGTTGAAATAAGATTAGCCCATGAAGTCAGAAATATTGGTCTTCCAATGATTTTGAATAAAAATGCCCATCGCTGGGTCAAATTATTCTTCCGGACACCTTAGAGGTCCCATGAATATTAGTAGATGAACTCTATATATCTGTCCAGCATTTGTGTTGCTGGACCCACGCAGGGTAAGATTTAGTCATTTAAGCAGTGTGCCAGCTGTTTACTCTCCTGGTAAACCTTGGTAAACCTGCACAAAGGGAGGGTGAGGCAAGGCTGGTGGAGGAAGGGTCGTTCTGTGTGCTGTCTCTGCACTGTGGGTATGGAGTGCTACCTCAGACAGTCACAGGAAATTAACGAGGGTGGCTTGAGTGTGTGTGTGTGTCGGGGGGTAGTGCAAGTTATTATCCTAGGAATAAAGGACACAGTTCTGATGAGCTGAATTTACCTTATGTGTAAAGTTGAGACAATCACAGCCCTGAACCAAGAGGCAGCGGGAAACCGAGTACTTCCTTTGGCACTGGTTGGACCGTGATGTGGGGACTGCTGCACATCAGGCCGCCTGAAAGACAGGAGGGTGAAGTTCTGGATTGTTATGGAGAGGTGGTGGCAGAAGTGTGTGTGTGTGTGTGTGTGTGTGTGTATGGATGGATATACGTATATATGTATATGTTCTACCATGCCCTGCTCATTTATAAATATTCTGACTCCTTGTTTTGCCCAGGACCTTTTGGTCAGTCTATGCTAGCATGGGTGCAGAGAGATTAGGGCTCTTGTCTATTCTATCTGGCATTTGATCTTTGCTTTCTAATCAGGGTCAGCTCATTCTATAGGTATGCAGTAAGTTTGTGTGTGTGTGTTATGTATATGTGTGTGTGTTTGTGTGTGTTCATGTAGATATGTGCATGTGTGCATTTGTGTATGTGTATCTGTGTGTGTTCATGTAGACATGTGCATGTGTGCATTTGTGTATGTGTATCTGTGTGTGTGTTGTGTGTGTGCATTGTGTACGTGTGTATGTATGCATTTGTGTGTGAAAATGTGTATGTAGGTGTGTGTCTAGGTATATGTGTGTGTTTGTACATGTGTATTATGCATTTGTGTGTGTAACTGTGTAAGGGTGTAAGGGGTTACTGCTGAGTTCCTCATATTTGGCAATGGATGTACGTGGAAGAGCCGGAGGGGAGAGGAGAGGGTTCTTACCGCCATTTAGTAAGTTAGCTTTTCTTTTCACATTCTGTTCATGGTTCTGCCCTTTTCCTAAGCTCTCTATTCCTTGCTGATCATATCGCTCTTCTTCCCAGGTACCTAAGGCTGGGACCCTACCCTTGGCCACTGAAGTTCTCAGAAGCCTAACAGCTCCTCCCACCCTAGAGAAGAAGCCGCAGGTGGCCTACAAGACTGAGATCATTGGAGGCGTGGTGGTGCAAACGCCCATCAGTCAGGTGCCATTGGTTGGGGCTGCTGGGGCTGGTGAAGAGATGTCCACTGTGCCCAAGGTCCGGCACATAGCCATGGGATATGTGGAGCTAGTGGAGAGGGGTGACCACGAAAATACAGTGCAGGGTGGGTGTGGCCGGTGCCAATGTAGAAGTTGAGGCCATGACATCATGACTTCTTGAGGATGTGTGGTCTGTGTGCTTCTGCTTACGACCCAGACAATGAACACTTGTAAAACTTAAAGGAAGTGTGGCTTGAGGCAGGGAGTGGGGCTGGACCCAAGTCTGCAGCCCATCTTTCCATTTGGGGCTCATGTCCTCTTCTGTTCTGCCTTGCGTGCCCTTCCTCTTCTGGGTCTCTCTAGACAGTGTCTTGCTTTGTGAAAACACCCAGTGGAGCGCCTGATGGGGAGCAAAGTCCGTTTTCCGTTCTTTGACTGACATGATATCAGAAAGGCTAGAGGTGTGGTGGGAAGGCTGGGAGGGGCTGGGGCTGCTCAGAGGAGTGACCTGGGGGGTATTAACGGTGACACTGTTTCCTTGTAGAACGGTGGGGATGGGCAGGAAGGGAGTGAGCCAGGCTCTCACGCCTTCCTGCGGAGGTCTCAGAGCTACATCCCCACCTCAGGCTGCCGTCCTTCCACCGGGCCGCCCCTCATTAAGAGTGGCTACTGTGTGAAGCAAGGGAATGTGGTGAGTGCCAGCACGGGGCGTGCGGGGGGGGGGGGGGTACACGGGGGTTCTGACGACTCCTTGGAGCCAGTGGGCGTGGGTGCAGCAGAGGACAGTGAGAGGAAGAGCGATACCCCCCTGTGCTAACCACCACTGGGAACTAGCCATTAGCGTGCCCCCCCACCCCCACCCCCACCCCCCCGCCGGAAAGCATGTCCCTGATGGGAAGAAGCCTCACTGCCTTCAAACTGATGCAGTTTGCAGACTGATGGGCAGATTTCCCTCCTCCTACTTCCCTTCTCATGCTCCTAAGAGAATGACCCCATAGAGTTGTCTTAGAGTTCCTATCGTTGAGGTGAAACACCATGACCAGAAAGCAAGTTGGGGAGGGAAGGGTTTATTCGGCTTACACTTTTCCCAGCACTGTTCATCACGGAAGGAAGTCAGGCCAGGAACTCAGGCAGGGCAGGAACCCGGAGGCAGGAGCTGGTGCAGAGGCCATGGAGGGGTGCTGCTGACTGGCTTGATCACGTGGCTTGCTCAGCCAGCTTTCTTATAGAACTTGGGACCACCAGCCCAAGGATAACCTTGCCCACAAGGTTATCTAGACCCTCCCCCATTGATCACTAATTAAGAAAATACCCTACATCCGGATCTTCTGAAGGCATTTTCTCAATTGAGGATTGCCTACAGCCCACTTTGATGGAGGCATTTTCTTAACTGAGGTTCCCTCTTCTCAGATGACTCTAGTTTGTTTCAAGTTGATGTAAAACTAGCCAGCACAGTGGTAGCTTCTGCTGGCAGCAGAGGATGGCACTCGGGCACTTCTCAGGCACTAGAGTTAGGTGCTTGGTCTTGGGAAGGTGGGCTCAGATGGAGGCCTGGACCTGTCACTGCCTTCACACTTCCCACATAATTCCCGTTATTTGTCCCCGATGAAGAGGGGAGCCTGGCTTCAATGGTGCTGGATCCCTGGGCATTTCTTGTGACAGTGCCAGTCCTGGTGTTGGAGACCTAGCCTTAAAATGCGTGGCTCCTTATTTTGCATTTCAGCGGAAGAGTTGGAAACGGCGCTTCTTTGCCCTGGACGACTTTACCATCTGCTACTTCAAGTGTGAGCAGGTGGGTCGTAGGTTCCGGTCCTTCCCGAGAGATTACAGAAGTAGAGAGTGTGTATGAGTGGAGACCAGGCCCACATGGACTTCCAGGGCCCCTCTTTGTCTTATCCTGTGTCCTTTGTCCAACCTGTGTCTCTTTACGATGCTCTTAAAAGGACCTGGGCTGCTGCCAGCTTCTGCGCAGTGGGCTGCTGTGGGGGCGGAGCCACCGAGCATCTGCTGCTTAGATTTCTCCCCCTTAATGATTATTTTGAACCCAGGTTGGTTTTAGCCAAGACTCTGAGAGAAGGACATTATTGGTGAGCTGGTGTGGGTCACTGGCCCATGTACATAGCCTCATGTGTCCATCTTCCATCCTTCCCACCAGGACAGAGAGCCTCTGCGCACCATACTGCTCAAGGATGTTCTTAAGACTCACGAATGTCTCGTCAAGTCTGGGTAATTGCCTCTTTTTCTTCTTCATTCATTTTTTTTAAATGGTGTTTTGCCTGTGTGTGTGTCTATGTGCGAGTACCAGATCCTCTGGAATTGGAGTTACAGACAGATGTGAGCTGCCATGTGGGTGCTGGGAATTGAACCTGGGTCTTCTAGAAGAGTAGCCAGTGCTCTTACCTGCTGAGCCATCTCTCCAGTCCCTTCTTGTTCATTCTGAGCAGAGCCCCTGTCTTCTTTGAATCTTCATTCATTACCCTTTGGCGGGCTCTTTTTAAGAATGGGTATCCCTGTTCTTGACCGAATGTCTCAAAACTGGTGCAGCGTGGAGATCACGCTGGCCACATACCTTCTTCCCTTTCCCCTTTTTTTTTCTTTCCGGTTTTTCAAGATGGGTTTTCTCTATGTAGTTTTGGTGCCTGTCCCGGATCTCACTCTGTAG